TACTGGGGAAAAGCCATATTCTTGTGAGGTGTGTAAAGCTGCATTTTCCCAAAGATCAGCTTTGATAACACACATACGAATACACACTGGAGAAAGACCATTCACTTGTAATCTATGTGGATGTTCATTTTCAAGTGACTCAGCTTTGAAAAGGCACATGCGAACACATACTGGAGAGAAACCATTTTCATGCCCTGTATGTGAGGCTACGTTTTCACAAAGTGCTGGCTTAAAATCACACATACAAACTCACACTGGAGACAAACCATATCTTTGTAAAGTGTGTGGATCTGCATTTTCACAGTCTTCAAATTTAAAAAGACATATGCATATACACTCTGGATTAAAACCATATTCTTGTGATGTTTGTGGATCAGCATTTACACGGAACTTTGATTTAAAAGTACATGTTCAATCACATACTGGAGAAAAACCATATACTTGTGAAATGTGTGGTTCATCATTTTCTAACAATGCAGCTTTAAAAAGACATACATATTCTCACACAGGAGGGAAGCCATATTCTTGTGAATTTTGTGGATGTACATTTTCATCCAATTCAGATTTGAAAACACATGTACGAGTACACACTGGAGAGAAACCATATTCTTGTGAAGTGTGTGGATCTGCATTTTCACACAGTTCAAATTTAAGAAAACATATTTTTATACACACTGGAGAAAGATTACATTCATGTGAAGTGTGTGGATTTGCATTTTCTCACAGTTCTAATTTAAAAAAGCACATGCTAACACATACTGGGGAAAAGCCATATTGCTGTGAAGTGTGTGGATCAGCATTTTCTCAAAATTCAAATCTCAAACGACATAGACAAAGGCACAGTGAAAGGAAGTCATAAGTATATGGATTTGCATTTATATACAGTTTGTGTTTTAAGGATATATCAATATACTGAAGAGAAAACATGTTCATGCAAAAATGTACAGGTTCACAGTTATGATCTGAAAAGACATATAGTAAAATATACTCCATTGAAAAAGGGTCTATATTTTGACACAGATATAGAGAAACTATATTTCTGTAATATGTATTGATGCTTTTTTTCCTCTCTCTTAAATACTGCTTAGATTATACCCAGAAAAACAGTGAAGAGAAATTTAAACTTAGTTGATTTTTTTAAAGAAAAATCACTTTATTAAAGCTGGATTGATGTTATGCCATAAAACAACTATATACTTTGAGAAAAAATGTTCAGGTGCATTGTCAATTTAAAGGTGTCAAATTTCTCTTTTCTTTATAGAAGCAAATTTAGTTTGGTAATACCTCACATGAGAGCATCAGAAATTTAGAAAAAAAAATGATATACAAGCATTTCTTTAAAAAAAAACAAAAGAAAAATTGTTGGCATTTTTCATCTTATTGATCAGTTGATTTAAAAATATAAATATATACTGTTTATCAATCTAATGTTATTAAAGAGAATTTTATTTTTCTTTTATCTACAAGATGAAAGATCTCATTTTCATTTGAAACCTGTTAAATCTTGAAAAGTTATCACTCTCATCTTAGTCATTTTCTGTTTGAGGTTACTGTATTGAAAAGTTATGTAATGCTTTAAAACAAAACTAAACATTTAATATCTGTAATTTTGAGAAGTCATTATTCCTAAAATGGTTTTGCAAAGGTTATTTTCATTTTGGCCGTAATATTCTTGTCACTTTTGTTTTATCACACACACACACATATATATATATGACAAAATATTTGGAAAAGCAACCTTTCTGCTTCTGTGGTTTCTACCAATCAGATATCATCAGGTAGTAGAATTCTTTTATTGCTTGACGATAACTGGAAAGTTGGTTTTCCAAATATTTATATCTTAAATTGCTGTACCTTTTCATGTTAGAAAAATTGTATTGAGCACTTTTTCATTAAGTCAACACTCCAAGTTTTTGTTCACCTCTGCTGTGGCCAGGTATTGAACTCACAATTCTTTGGGTCATGGCACTGGATTACTTCAACCAATGCTTTCATTCATTGGGAGAGTTGAGTTACTAAAGGGAATTAACTGATGCCCAGAAAAGGCATGGCACAGGGGAACCAGAACAATCTACCCTAGTGGACTAAAACAGTCTGAACAATGTAATTAGTGTAAATAGTTAAAATATCTCAGAAATATAGACAGATGTTATATTATGATATAATTGTTTTATGTGGGCTGCTGAACCCATTTCAAAAGGTCTGCACATTATTTTGTAAATGTAAAAAAACATTGAGTAATAATTTGTTTCAGATCCTTGACTGAAACATAATTTTGAAATTTTAAAGTTTTGAACTTTACGCCAACAAGAACTTATTATTCTTACAGAAGGCATATCCAAAGAAAATTTACAAGTGAAAAATGCAAACAGTGTGTGACAAGTGACTGTCTTATTCAACTGTGATGTAGTGGTATACCAAATTCCAGCATAATTTTGATACTGAAGATGTAGCACAGTCAGCAAAGCATTCAATATTGATAACTCTTTAAATTCTTGAGAATGTTCATAACCTAATTTTGGTTGATCAAAATCTCAGTCAACAAAATTGGTGATACACTAGGGATAACTAGGAAATGCATTGGGTTCATAATTCATTCACAATTAGGTACAAAGGTGTTGCTTTAATGTTTGCTTGCTGACCAGAAATAATATCAAGTAGATATGTCCAAGTTGATTTTGTTGCATTTTCAGCAATCTAGGGATACCTTTTGTTTTTAATGGATTGTCACTGTTGAAACATGGTTACAACACAACAATCTGGAGACCAAATAACAGTCTATACAGTAGTAGCTCTCTCTTTCTCCACAGTAAAAAGAATTCAAGAACAAATGTCAGCGGGAATGGTTACCGAGATCTTTTGGGGAGTTGGGAGGGATAAGGAAGGTACTGATGACTATCTTCAAAAGAACCAAACATTTAATACAGAAAAGTATTCTAACTTGTGGTGCTTAAAGGCAGCAATGACAGAAAAACAGCAAGAAGCCATGGAAAAGTTTATCCTTTTGCAGGACAAAGCATCATTCACTGGGCTAGCAAAATGATGTAGGTTTTGAAAAATCTAGTATTTAAGTGTGTATACCATCTACCCTGCTCCCCAAATATTGTTCCATCTCTTTCAAAACCTTGAAAGGGAGTCAATTTTGGAAATTTTAATGTATAAGCAACAGAGTGATATTTTAATGACAAAATATCTTGTCTCTGGATACACTGAATTGGAATTCATACAAAAGACACAATGTAGCAACAGCATACTTCTACTGGGCAATTTGTTAGCAGTATAGCATCAAAGACATACTATGAGCAGGATTCATTAATTGTAACAGAAAATGATGAAATTACTATTCTCTGAGACATGGCAATCTAAACTGATAAATAAATTAATGCCAATATAATAGTGAAGGAAAGAACTTGTCTGATCATCAACATGTCTATCCTCACCAAAAGAAACACCTCCATGAATATAAATATTTAAAAAATAGTATTTGAGAGAATATAAAACAGGAAGACCATAGTACTAGTACTAACAGCTACTCTTGGCCTGGTCAAGAGAGGAATGGAAAAACACACCAATGAAATCGCTGACAACACCTAGATACAAGAAGTCCAGAAGATTCACCTTTTCAGTGCTGCTCACAAATTAAATAGTCCATACAAAAAAACTGTAGTATCAAAAGCATGGTTTTCCCCATGAGACCTCCTTTATTTTAACTACGCCTTGGTAATGTTTTTTTATTTAAAAAGCAATTATTAGAAATTTAATCAGAGAGCAGAGTTCGCATTCCAGTCAAATCCATTGCACTCACTTATGTGCTAATACCCTTGGGAAAGGTATGAATATGAATCCTCCTCTTCTTCTCTCCCCAGCTATGGGTAAATAGCAGGACAGACTGGGTTCTATAGCCTTAGTTCTACCACAGAAAGAAATGGCAACCTCGTCAGTCATGTATCAAGAGATACATGATCGCCTAAGCATGTATCACGCATGGCACATAACTGACTGAATAAAAACTAAGCATATGAAAGTAAATTTATTAATTTTCTTTGTTCTGGAGAATTGACAACAAAAACAGGAAATGCTATTTATTTATTAGATTGTTTATTGGAATGTTCAACAAAACATCAGCTAACTGCCAATTGATTTAAACTTTATAAAATGGTAAATAATGTTTTCCTTATAGTTGGTTCACATATTTTAATAATATAGTAAATGTTTATAAATTTATGAAAAAAAATCGTTTTCACATTTACTTCTTTATAAATTGGTAAATGATAAATATTGCATTGAATTTTAGAATGTTGTAAATATAAAATTCTTGTAAAAATATAATCTAATAAATACATACTGTTTAATATTTTTGTTTTAAATTCTCAAGAACAAAAAAATGTATAAATTCACTTTCATTATTTTTTATTAGGTTTTATTACAATTATAATCATTTTAAAAAAAAAATTACCAAAGAGTAGTTAAAATAAGAGAGGCATTGTGGGAAAAACTGTCCTTTTGACACTGTTATTTTTTTTTGTGGGGGGGAGGAGAATGCTTGCTGAGGCCTCTGTCCATTAAAGAATTCATCATACACACATGATAGTCCTGTTCAAGAGAAGGACTTGATTCCATGAGTGAACAAAGCCGAACATTAAGAAAAAAAAAACAGAAAAGCACCAAATGATAATAATGAATAGAGTAGAAGTGATCATTTGAGGTAAAATTATAGTCTACAGTAGTGAGAGCTGAGAATAAAATTACCCTATAAGAAGCTTCAGCTTTGTCTACAAGATGCAGGATAATTTTTGAGCCTTTTTTATATAAAGAAAACTGTCTTATATAGTCAAATATGTATATTTATTTATTTTTGTTAAAACATATATTTCTCTACAAAATATATTTTACTGAAATGAATCTTAATTACTTAAGTTAACCAAAAATATTTAAAACCTGTTTTAACTTAAATTTTCTTGTTATATTGAATGTTTATTACACCACCACCCACATTCAAGCTTACAGTACTTGCCATTCCCAAGTAGTCATGCATCTAGGTACTGACCAGGCTCTATATTGCTTAACTTCGGTGATTGTACAGGAATTGGTGTTTCAACAATATGCTGCCACATGTTGTGGATGGGGGGGTGATGGATAATGGCACGGAATTCTTAATCCAAGAGCACAGTTCCAATTACTGTTGGGTACTTTATGTGCAAATACTCTTGGCAAAGGTATGAATCCACCTTTTCTCTCTCAACTATAGGTTAATTAGTAAGACTTGCTGATCTGAGATAAAAATGGTTTTGTGTTGAACTATTATCTAAAAACAAAAAAAAAATTTTATAATCTGAAAATATTTTCTGGCTTCAAATAACCTGCAAATGGTTAAGCTGTAGAAAATGAATGACTCAATCAATTTTAATGATGGAAAAATTTATCTCTGGTTACAGCATATTTACTGAAATTTTAATAGTTTTTACCTTTCATCCATTGAATTTTGTAATTCATAAATCCTGAAATTAACTAGAAAAATGGAAGTGTTCAATATTTGATTATAAAACAAATAATTGATTTGTTTTCAATCTTTATATTACAATATGAACATGAATAGAATGTAATAATAATCTGTTGTATGACAAAGAGAAATAACAAAATCAACCATACTTTGCTAATAAAATTACTTTAAATTATTTTTATTTTCTATTGTCATTTTTAAATTATAATTTCATAAAACTTAATTATCATATTTTTTAAACATGTTTTGGAAAATTTGGACTTTCATGCCCCTAAAACACTGGAGTGTGAAAAGTGCAGGCAGTTTTTACATTGAAACTGCTATTATTTTAACTACTTTTACTCCTCAGCAATGTTTATTGTTTGAAAAAACAATGATTAGAATTGTAATAAAACCTAAACCTATGATGAAAGTCGATTTATACATTTTTTTTTTTGTTCTTGAGAATTTACATAAAAATATTAATCATTATATATATTTATTAAAGCGAGTGAACAAAACCAACATTTTTTTATGTCAAAAGATGTTTTTAAGGGAGGGTGGTCAGGAAAATATTTTGTAGAATTCAATTTTTACCATATCTTACAATGAACAAAATGTTCAGCAGCAGAAAAGTTATATAAGTTCTGCCAAAAATCTTTGGAAAATTAAATATGTTGTAAGATAGATTTCATTTTAGCTCAGATTGTGTAAGTTGCTGATGTCAAACAGGAATTCAGATTAGCACTTGTAAGTTAAAAAAAATTTTTTTTTTGAAAATTCCATGTTGGCACATTTAAAAAAATGTTTTTTGAGTTGCTGCTAACTTTTAACTGATCCTGATGTAACAAAAGAATCTTAACACAGCAATATTTGAATTGAGATTTAAAATTTTTTTGTACATGTGTAATGCAACTATATAATATACTATCTGATCATTGTTATCTTTTAATTGAAATCATCACCTTTTTTTTTCATCTAGTGATATTCAAGTTATTCTTAATTTGTGTAACAGCAGTAATTCATAAATGAAATTGAACAATATGTTTGCATAAAATAATTATTCAAACTGAAGTGAATAAAATTAGCAAAAAGGAAATTAATAGAATGACAAACAACAATCAGTTTTAAACTGGTGTAAAAAAAATAATCCCCTCCCCCACACCAGAATATGTTTGCTTCGTTTCTTCAAGTCTGAATTATTTGAAAAATACAAAACCACAAATGTCACACTGATATAAATTTTTATAAGTAGATATCCCAAACTAAACATTTATTTTCAATATATCTAAAAACCATTACTACAGACATCAAGATTGTGACAAACTAAAAATATTACCAAATTTATCTTGGTAGCTCAATTAGCAAAGTTATGACCATTCAAAGTTCATAAGAATTTCTTGTATTATGTGTTATTGAACAAAGAGCAAATCTTAACAGTGTATAACTGAAAAGACAGGCTTTAAACACGTTAAAAATCATTATAAATGTCATATAGGTAGGCTTGAATTTAAAGAATGATAATGCTAATGGAATCAATAATTCTTTAGATCAGATCAGCCTAAACTTGGAAAATTTTGTTCTCAAAAACAAAATCATAAAACTAAGAAGGGTAAATTTGACTGAATGTTTCATTTCAACAGTTAATGTCTTGCAACATCTTCCTATACTTCCTATACAACAGAGATGGAGCTAATGTTTTTCAGTAGTAACTCAATAAAAAAAAATCTTGTCTGATCAGCTTTTGTGTTGATGTTTTTGCTTGCATTGGCTTTCAACAGTGCCTTAACATGATGGTCTTGCAGAGGCTGTTATGCTGTGTGACATGCCAAACCACTTCTGACACTTGTTTGCTTTTCAACACTGGCCACCACATTAAATGAAGTGTTTTCTATCTTTCCTTGATGGAAAAAATGGATTCAAAGAAAACCTTAAAGGAAAGTTTTAAGAATAGGAATTGTATAAAAAAAAAAAACTGTTGCTAAAAATCATAAATACACTGTTCAAACTTTTGGGACACATAATGTAGAAAGAAGGTTTGGAAGATTTAGCACAGCAGATTAAAGGCCAGAGAAACAGAAGAAATAGGCCAGTAACCTATTTGACAAACATGAGCAAATGAATAGAGAAAGAAGGTTTGGAGCACATTGAAGGCCAGAGAAACAAAAGAAATAAGCCAGTAACCTATTTGACAAACATGAGCAAATGAATAGAGAAAAGTACTACAAAAAGAAAAGGGTGCCATAAAGGAGCAAGTATTGCTGACAGCAGTGAAAGATAGGAAACTGTGGAGAACCCTGATCATCTAGAGATAGACTATTAAGCAGGCAAAAAAGAGCTGAGCCACAGTTTGCTGAACAACCTTCTTTATGTGGAGTGTCCTGTCAGGACATAGGTGATCATGGCTCTCCACAGTTTCCTGTCCTTTGTAGTTCTTAATAAAATTTATCTTTTTTGACATTTCTCCTAAACCCTGTTCTGCCATTCATTTAATTAAGCTTACTAGTTATGTTATGTGTTGTTTTCCTGTATCTCTCATGCCTTCAGTCCTGTGAGTATCAGATTTGTCAAGCCCTCTTTCTTTATCATGTGCCCTAGAAATTTCAACTATCTCTCTCTGATGTTAAGTATGTGTTTCCTTTTTGATTCCTTTTTGTGTAAAACTTTATCATTGCTCACATGCTGATCTCTCATGAAAGAAAGCCCTGCCCAGGTCTGCACCCTTGGAGATGGCTTAACCTTTTGGGTGCAGATCCATGGTCTCTTGAGTCTGCCAGTTCTATAAAAGCACATTTCTGTTGTTTCAACTCTCTTCTACATCTTTGAGTAGATTGCCATATAGGAGATATCACATAACAGTTCAGTACTCTTTTCTTTGTTGCTGATAAAGTTTTTCTGTTTCTCAATGCTCTGCTTAGCTTTTGGAAAGCATCTTTTTCTATCCCAATATGCCTTTGGATTTCAGTGTCACACTTTATGTCCTCTGTTAAAACACTTCCCAGATATTTAAATTTTTGTACTTGTTTGATTTTGGTATCCCCAATTTGTACTTTGCATTTTGAGCACATCCTTTTGTTAACACCCATGCATCATCTTCCTGCAGTCGATGTTTAATCCTTTCTTCTCACTTTCCTTCACTAGGAGTTTTCGTAGTTTTCTTTCTGTGTCTACTATCAAAACTGTGTCATCTGCATATCCTAATCACAGAATGCAGAAAAACAAAAATGTATGAGAAATATGATTCAATTTACAAATTTTAAGAATACCATAGACAGAGCAGGTGATAAATGAGTAAGTTTTAAGAAGAACAGGAACTACAAAGAAATTGTTGATAGCAATCAGAATTAAAAAAAAAAAACAGCAAGTAACCAATTTAGAATGTATGAGCAAATGGATGGATAAACCAGTATCACAAAGGTGGTGGTGGTGGTGTGTGGGGATATAAAGGAGCAAGAATTACCAAAAGCAACAAAAGATAAGAAATTGTGGAGAGCAATCATCACCAAAGTCTTGAAGAGCTATGAGAAACTGCAAAATCATAATCTAACAAAATTCAGATAAGTATGCAAAGAAACAGGAGTAAAAAATTCTTTACTTTGGTCTTTGGCAATTGTTTCTGAAATTTGTGGCTATAAATAAAATAAAAAACATTATTAAGTAAAACAAAAACCTTTTAAAATGATCACCAAATAAAAGTTTTGTGATGCTGGCAATTCAGTTATGGCAAAGAGAAGTCATAAAATATATACTTTAAATAAAAAAGAAAAAGTTCTCAACTTAAGGAAAGGGGGGAAAAATCCTATGCTGAGATTACTAAACTCTACAGTAAGAATGAATCTGTAACATATAAACTTTTATGACAAATATACCATTATAATTGTTCGATTTTATTATTATTTTTGTTGATAATATTCTATGGTACATAATTTATAAATTAAAATTTATCATAGACAAAAAGAAAAAACAAAAAAAAAGACAAGTTCAATGCTATAACTATGTGTGAATAGGTGTCTTCTTCATGTACTGTGTCCCCAAGACTTCCTGTCCCTTGTAGCTTTTAATAAACTTTGTCTTTCTGTCTGTCCAAAGCCCTGTTCCACCATCCATTTACTCAAACTTATGCATTGTTTTCATCTGTCCCTCTAGTGAGTATCAAATTTTCCAAGCCATCCTTCTGTCTCTTCCTGATGTTAAGTATTAGTTTCTTTTTGTTTCCATTTTCTCCAAAACTTCATTGTTGCTTTCATGTTCGGTCCAGTGTCCTCAGCATCCTTTTGTAGAATCACACTTCTGTTGCTTCAAGTCTCCTTTTCATCTTTGAGATCATCCAGCACTCATTGCCATACAGGAGTACAGATGTCACATAGGATATGGTAAAAAGAAGGTTTTGATTACGTCATTGCAAGAACATGAGAGAACTGCTACAAGGAATTGGCAATATGTGTTATGTGCATGGACAGCCATATTTGGGCAATGTTCTGGAACTGATAAAAGGATTGTGTGTGTGTGTGTGTGTATATATATATATATATATATATATATATATATGACATAAAATATTTAAAAACCAACTTTCCTGCTGCCACTATTTTTTCCAATTAGGTATCTATCGTCAAGGAG